CAGTTGCAGGACATGGAGTCTATTCGGGTGTTTGTCTCTGAGTTGATCCAACTCTGGGTGAGACGACTGACGAGTGGTTGCGATGACATGTTTGGCGTGAGTTGTGGTCAACACCTGTCGCACTAATTCGAGTCCAATCCCCCGATTGGCGCCTGTGATCAACACATTAGTCAAACTCATTGTTAATATATTTAAATTTGATATAAATTGTTGGAATAAATCACAATTTTTTTTAAATATTATAATAACCAGTATTAGTATATTTCACTAATAGAAGTGCATTAATATGAGTTGCAAACACATAATGTCGTATTATTTAAGTAGATCACTATTCAGTTCATTTACAATAATATTTTATCACATTTAATTTATCAGTAAAACATTTACATTGAATTGACCTTCATTAAAACTAGAGTAATGTCAATATACATATAATATTATATATACATTATATATTCAGTATATGAATTTGATATTATAAAAATATTTTTAATAAAAGATTTTTAATATTATAAATAGAATTATAGATATAAATGAATTTTTAATTATGGTTATAATTAATTAAAATAATTTGTTACCCATTTTATAAATTGTTGGTTATTTTAAAAATCATTTATTTATTAGTCTTTTATTTAAATACAGTTTGAAATAATAATTATTTTATTTTATTTTATTTTATTTATTAACCGTAAGTGAATAAATATAATATTTTTGCAAATAATTTTTAAATTGTATTAAAAATATTAAAAATGTTAATTAGTTATTAGATAGGTTGAATTACCAAAATTATTAATTCTTTTAATAAGGTATTATATAACCATCGTATCGTATATATTTACCCAGCACATCATCGGTTATCTGAGTCTTAATCACGTTTAACACACCCGACACGCCGGTGCTCACTTCCAACTGAGCTGTAGGTCCACCCAAATCCGTTTTCAAATGACCTGGACATATACTGATCACATGGATATTGTGTGGTTTGAGATCAACCGCCAGGCATTTGGTGATCATATTGAGTGCAGCTTTACTGGTGCGGTACGGGTATATAGTCATCCCGGGTCTGGTAGCCAACTCAATAGACCCCAAACTGGATGATATATTAATTACCGACGTCTTTCGAGATGCTGCTGATGTCTAATATATTAGAAATATATATTTTTATAATTTGAGTTTATAAATAATATTTTAAAAATTACTAGCTTAGTTTGTCGCATAGAATTAAAATAATTTTAATTACACATAAAATTTTTAATACTTTATATAAGAAGTTGTTAGAATCTATATTATGGCGATACAATAGTTTAGTAAAATAATTTTGTTAGATTAAAAGCTATCACATACTTACAGTTACAGTTTGTACAAGAGAAATTAGTTTTAAAATTAGCTGTGCCCAGTTTATTAACATAAAATAAATTAACATTTATCAACTAGGATATTAGACTAGATGTAAATTAAAGTCTTACTAAAAGTAAAATGTGATTATGAATTCAAATTTAAGTTTTATACAAACCTTAAGCAATGGCAGCAATGCTTTGGTTAACATAAGCGGTGCCACAGAATTCACTTCAAAATTCTTAAGCATATCCTCAGCGGTCACTGAATCCAGGAGTTTAGGTAACAATATTCCCGCGTTGTTTATCAGGGTATCTATACCATTGTCACCCACTATAGCCTCCACTTGTTTGACAAACTCCGGGAAACAGTGATAGTCTGTGCCCTCCAGTTGCAGGACATGGAGTCTATTCGGGTGTGAACACAGTATTTTAAAATATATTTTTATAAATTTAATAAAATAACAAAATTTTTAAGACAAACCTTAAGCAATGGCAGCAATGCTTTGGTTAACATAAGCGGTGCCACAGAATTCACTTCAAAATTCTTGACCATAACTTCGGCGGTCACTGAATCCAAACGATCCCGAAAAGCCATTCCCGCGTTGTTTATAAGGGTATCTAATCCCTGGTCACCCACTATAGCCTCCACTTGTTTAACAAACTCAGGGAAACTGTTATAATTAGTGCCCTCCAGTTGCAGGACATGGAGTCTATTCGGGTGTTTGTCTCTGAGTTGATCCAACTCTGGGTGAG